TTTTTTCACTTCCTTAAATATGCCCCAAGTTCAATACAGGCAATGTAAAATGGGAAAGAGGGAATATATATTACTTGTATTTTGTTTAAATATTTTTGAAACAAATTAATATTTATTATTGTACAAAAAAATTATAATGGAGTATTCAATTCATACGTATAGTATCAAATATTCATGTATTTTAAAGTATTTTTAAAAATCGTACGGATACGTAAATATAATACGCGTATTATACGTACGTAAGTATATATAATACGTGTATTATATGCGTATTAACTAACTAGGCTATAAAGAATGAAATAATTTCATTAAGCAAAAGTGTTGTCATTTAACTTCATTTTAATTAGTTTTTTTGAGGTTACCATAAATCTAGATTGTTTTTTATCTATATATTTCTCATAGAAGAGAGATTTTTTAAATAAAAATTATAGGTACGAGTCAAGAATTGAGACGTATGGAATTAAAATTTATCCATAGATGAATTATCTTAAAGATTAAAATGGGACATGAGAAGTTTTAATTTGTTATATGAAAAATGAAAATCCTTTAAAGTATTTTCATTTTTCATATAACAAACATTAGAGCATTAGAATGTTCATTCTAATGTTGTTGAAAAGAACAACATTAGAACATCATTATTAGAGACATAATTTACTTATAATGAGTGGGGTTAAAAAATATAGACTAGAAAATTAATAAGTCACACATAATTTTGTTTTGCATTGTATAAATTCTTGTCTTAAAAAACTCATTATACTTTTAAACATTGCATTTTTTGTATTATCAAGTCATACTTGGTAGTATCTAATTTAAAACTACATTTTTGGTCTTCAAACATTATGCTCATGGTTCATCCATGATTATTTCAAAACGTTTAATCTTCCACAAAGCATACAACTGAAAACACACTACTTCATTGTTGGAATTAGAATAAGATGTAAAATTTGAAACTACACTATGCTAACATTATTCACTCTAATACTTTAATTTTATACAATGTCTTGTTAATATGCATGGATATACAATTCAAACTAAAAAAACCCATCATGCTGACATGGGCATTATTGGATATGTATGAAATCTGATATCAAAGTCCATACATGCAAAAATCATGTCATTCATTAGATTATGTGATTATGAATTTAGAATATATCAACCATGTTGATCAACTTTAAATGTCTTTTATACCTTAATGTTATTCCCACAATTTTTAGAATTATTGTTAAGTAAACCTTGATCGGGCACTACAATCCGCGCAACGCGCGTAAATATGCTAGTGGTATTAGAAATGGGAGCCGCGAATCCCGCGAAAAGATGCGTTTTCGTGCTCCTGTGTTACTTGTGATCGTGAGGATTTGATTTGATTTCCGCTTTGGGTTTTCTCGTTTTAAGTGGGTCGGCCCATCCGCCCATTGTAGAGTATTATTATTATCATTATACGGAGTATAAATTATTCAAAATAATTCTAACATTACCCGGTCATAAAAAAATTATCCTACGGAGTATATTTTACTGTGATACATAATAATCTCAATTCTATTAGAATTTGTGAGTTTTGGATTAGCGTTAAGTTGCTAATAACAGGTTAACAGAAACAACATTTTTTGCCTAACAAACTGAAGCTCATATTATTTTTTATGGATTTTTTATTTTTAAATTTTAAAAATTACTTTCTAAATCCATTTCTCTTTATGTTTTGAAAGATTAGTCTTACCTTAGAAAAAATAAAAAAACATGGATATAAAATAACAAAAAAGAAATGGTTTTGTAAAAGCCGAAATAGGTCTTTCTAATTCTTTTTTTTTTTGAATGCAGGTCTTTCTAATTTTTTAATAAAAGGTTTAAAAACGGATTTGCAAAAGCCAAAACATTTTTGTTTTAAACTTTTTTTAAAAAAGGCTTTAAAACAGCTTTGCAAAAGCCAAAATAATTAAAAAAACGGCTTTGGTAAAGCGATTTCCAACTTAGGAAATCCATGTCCAGATTCTTCCTGGGGAATTTAGCATCTCATCGCATCACGATTCACGGCTCCCATTTCTAAATGCTCTTTTCATCGATCGCGGGTAACATCAAAATCTACCGCACATCCAAATTTACGGTTCTGATTCCAATCCAGGTCTGCCCCTTCAAGGTTAGGATTTCTTTTTCTTCTTCTTAAACACTACCTCCGTCTCTGAGTATTCGTCTACTTTTGACTTTTTTCGGTCAACTATTTTCAACCTTTGACTTATAATTAAATAACCTATATATTATTTGTTAATTAAATAAAAATATATTTTAAAAATATTTTGTATATTAAATCTAATGAAAATATTTTTGTATCAATATCTAATATCATTTGTTTTTAGTTTGAAGTCAAAATTTATCAATTTTGACCAATAAAAATAAAAATAGACAAATAATGAGGGGAGTAGGTCACAATTTTTCTTTTTTGGCAATCGAGTGACCTCTTCATTTTTCTTTACGGTTCCGTTTCCAATCCAGGTGTTCGAGTTCAAGGTTAGGGTTTCTTCTTCTTCTTCTTAAATATAATCACAACTGGAATTTTTTTTTCTGTTGGCAATCGAGTGACCTCTTAATTTACTGTTATCTTTTGTTTTAAAAAAGTAATTCTGCTATTTATTCGAATTCGTTGGAAACAGGCTTGATTTCCATTGTTCTCTCCACGATGGGTTCCGGGTCCATAGGCGAAATGGGTTTTGAGTTAGGGCCTCCATCACGCATGGATGTTCAAGAGTCAGGCTCTTCAGGGATTGATGATGCTGATTCACGGTCTTCTTCTGAGATGAATGGTATGCCAGAGTATCCGTCAAAGAAGCAAAAAATTGGTGAAGATGGGATGGATCCCAGGCTTTCCTCTTGGAACAATATACCCTTGTTTTCCGAGTCCATGGAAGTTGAGTTGGGGTGTCAATGCATGGATGTTCCAGAGTCAGGCTTTTCAGGGATTGATGATGTTGATCCACGATCTTCTTCTGAGATGAATGGCAGGTCAGGTTATCTGTCAAAGAATCATAAAATTGGTGAGGATTGTATGGATGCCAGGCTTTTCTCTTTGCACAATGTACCCTTGTTGTCCGATATTTGTGAGATGAAATGCATTCGTCGAACATTTGGAGAGCAAGTTCATTTCGACCTGGAAACACTTTGTGGCAAATACGTTCTGTTTTACTCTTTCGTCCCCTCACCTTCGAATTATCGCCTCATACAAAATTCGCTCTACCCCAATGATCTCTTTGATCTTTGTGCTGACCTGTATTCTGCACGAGACGATTTTGAGATGGTATTTGTTGCAAAATCGAGAAAGCAGGATGATTTACAACTATACTACTATGGTCTTCCCTCTTACTCTCTTGTTGTACCATTCGAGGAGTCGGGTCGTCCTAACATTATGCGTGAGTTCCATGACTTGGTTGATCCGGGTACTTTTAAATGTCTCTTTCTGAATGTCAACAAAAACATTAGCGTCCGTGGAAACATTGACTCCATGTCGCGTCTTACAGAACATCTTCAGGAACTAATACAAGAAAGTCCATTTGACTGCCTGCGCTCTTTTCAAAGGATTTTGAAAAGACTATGGCCTGTGATTCCCCAAGAGCAGAAAAATCCCTTCCCACGTGAGGGTTTTTGTCCTATAGCCAGGAAATTGAATGCTGTGAAACTGGAATATGGAAAAAATATCAATGAGATGGTTTCTGATTCAATGAAGTTATTTCCCACCAAGATTGGTCAATCTTTTGACGTTATCTCTTTGTTGTCTGGTAAAGGGGAGATGAAGAAGCACCTCGTTCGCAAGGGTGGCGATAGAGTTGTGGTTGATAAGCAGACATTTAGTGGAAAATACATCATGATTTGTTGCTTTAACGTGCCGGTCTTCCGCCATGAGCAAACTGCACGTTATGCCCAGGCTCTCGCAACTGCTTGCTCCGAGCTGTATTCATCGAGAAACGACTTTGAGATGGTTGTAGTTGCAAAGATGAACCAATTGGCCAATTACGAGGTGTATTTCAATCACTTTTTGTCGGGGTTCCCCACTCCATGTCTAGTAGTACCATTCGAAGACTCGGAGCGCCGTGACTTTATATGCAAATACCTTGACCTCCGTGCATGCTATGATATAGGATGTCTCATTTTGGAGAAGGATACGGATAGCAAGAGAAACATTTTGTTCTGTGAGAGTCCTTACCTTGCACGGACTTATGGTGCTGATGCCTTTCCCTTTACTACTGAGAAGTTGCAGGAAGTTAGCGCAAATGACCATATGTGGTGGGATGGTGATGTTCCTCCTCCAGCCAACCTTGAAGAACTTTTAGGGTGCAATCCGTGTGATATTCTTCATAAGACTCCTTCACCAGGGGACCATGAGGAGGCGACTATATTGGAACTCAGCAGGAAGGTTGTTGGGGTGTACGCGTGCGTTTCTGGAGATTTGATTCCCACTCTTGGGAAGGTGTATCAACAGTGCAGAGCTGAAGAGAAGGAATTTGAGATAGTGCTGGTGTACATACCCTTGTTTGCTGACTCTCTTGACCCACAGGTTCACATGGCGAACATTGTGAGTTTGTTGCAGGAGTGGGGGATATCGTGGTGGCAGTTTCCCCCCTCTGGGAATCCAAACAAGCTCTTCAACAGCTCTGTAAGCTTTAGGGTCAGTCGGTGTCTTTGCGCGTGCCGCAGAGATCGAATCATCATAGTGGGACGCGATGGTTCATTTGTTGAACCTGGCGGAAGAGAAATCTTGAGCAAGTTTGGGGTTGATGGGTATCCTTTCAGCAGCGAGTGCGTTGTAGGAAAGGAATTAGAAAAGCTTGAGAAACTCACTATGGAGTCGCTGTTGGTGCCTCCTCCGCCAAGGGACTTTGTTTATAAAGAGAAGAAGAAGATACACGTGAGTGAACTGAGGGGCAAGAAAATACTTCTTTACCTGAATAGATTTGGTGACTTTTGTCTTGCTGAAAAAGTGAGAGCCTGGTATTCTGAGATGAAGGGAACTGATCCTAATGTTGAAGTGGTAGTTGTTTGCAGATTTGACTATATTGTAATGGCAGATGAGGGAGATGAGTCCGATGTAACACTATCCGAATTGCTTCCTTTTTGGCATGTGTGCCCCTTCGACCCTCAGCACTCGGCATCTCTGGTGGAGGTACTATTCAAGGGGGGTTGTGAGTTTGATGCCCTCATTGAATTTGGAACAGATGGCCGTGTTTGTTCAATGAAAATCGCGAGTGGCACCGATGACCTACCACTAGACATTGTGTTTGATAAATCTCAGCTACGCGATGATATCACTAGCCATTTTAGGTTCAAAGGGTTTATATGACTGATCCCTAGCCCCTCCAAAACGGTATTTAATACCCTATCATTTTCTTGTGATCTGCTTAACTTGTCTCTGTGTGTGTGAGATTTAGCACATTTCTCAATTTTATGGTTGTCATTTGTGGTAAGTTCCAGAATCCCTTGTTTTTTTAATTTAAAGATCAGAATGTATACACATACACACATAAGCGCGCGCACAGATACACACACACATATCTAAAAGCCCCCTCCCTCCCCTGAGCCCATGCTTCATCGTCATCGTTGATTCTTTGTCAATATGTATCCTCTTTTCTATTTTATTGTGATGCCATTGATCCTTTTTCTATTCGTGTTTATACATCAAATTAGTATTTAGCGTGCTACTTCTTACTTTGGGAAATTCTTTTGTGGTCTTAAGGTACATACTAATTTTATAGACCTCAGTGTATAACATTACGGATGAATTGTCTCTTTGAATAAAAAAAGTCTTCATGTCGGCTATAAAATGTGTTGAACCTCTATGGTTCACAAGTTACACGTCAATACATACCCATTGTATCAAATTAACTCTACACCAAAACAATAAATCATTCTAGGGTTGTTTTTGTTTTTTCTACCAATTCATTCAAAGCCAAAATAGTAAACAGAGTAAATAAAATACTCAATGTCTTCTACTCCCTTTGTACAACTCTGTCACTCATATCTCATACTTTGTTTCTCTTTGTGGTTTTTTTTAATGCTAATGAGAATTTTCTTTTTCTTTCCCCACCCTTCACATTTTTTTATCTTGAGTTTCAAAAACTCTAAATTATGTTTCCATTATATATAACAGGTATGTTTTTTTTTGTTAATGCTCTAGAATGTGATCACCCATATTACTCGAAAGTTAATGAAACGTGGGCCAAAAATAAGGTGGGAAACATCTATAAAGATTCTTCTACTCCACCATTAGACCTAGCTATTTTTTTTATTGTTAATTGTTGATATACTTCAAAGGCTATGAGGGAGGCATTTGAGAGCCAGGTACAATGAAAAGGTTCTGGAAGAGTTAGTCAACCATTTAAAATCATCTTCATACAATTCTTTTCATCCCTTGTAACAAGTATAAGCTTTAATTTGAAGAAACAATATGTTCATGGCAAAACATATATATACTCAATGCAAGAGTATCTTTTATCATGACTTTCCATCACCAATTTGCTTTTCACACTAGTCTATAAAATAGTGTACCAAGTAAAAATCAAGCAATTCATAGTCTTGAAGGTATAGATGCACTAATACATAAGATGTAGATGACTAATATATAAGGTCCTGATTTTCTGGAACTTGGAAGTAACACTTACTATCCGGAAAGTCTAGAAGTTGAAAATGGCCATTAAATAGTAGATGGATTTCATGGAGGTAGGATTCGTTTCCATAGGGGTAACCTACTAGCTTGGGCTTTTTCCCCCCAATTCTGGCCTTCAATCGGTTGAGAACTCTTGTTGGACTGTCTTTATGCCAATGTTGGTCGTTAAACTCAAAACCTCGACCCGACTCACTCCCATGGGCAACATCGGCCATAATTTGGGAAATGTTATATAACTCTCCCAAGGCACATGCTGTACAAAAGTATGCCGCTTGGTCCATGTATGGCTGTCTTACACCATGGCCATCCCAGCGGTCTGCGAACCACCTATGAGGTATGTCTTCGTAACAAGATGGCCAATACCTAAGCAATCTCTCGCACACCTATAAGAAAAAAATATTGATTTGAAAATATGACTTCACAATGTAACCACTACAATTTAGGAGATAAAATATGGAATTCTAACTAGACTTGTTCGAACGCGAAATGTCCACTCGGCGTGCCTCCTAGCCCGGAGTTGGACGAGGCCCATCCCATCGATCTTTATCCATTTATATACAACAGTGTACTTGATATTATTTGATATAAAAATGGTGGGTTTGGTGGCCCATTTCTTATCATCGATATCTACCATAAAACTCGAGCTCGGCTCACCTGCTTTGTGTGGGTAATTATTGTTTTCATATCCGCCCATTTTTAATGACAAGCTGACCCGAGTTTGCACTAGTTTAATTTTCACTGTTAAAATTGCATAACATTCATCTCGAAAATCACTCACACAAGTATATACATGTCCAAGATTATTAAAATTATTATCTTTTACTCCCTATTATCAATATGAAGAATGTATTTATATAATAGGTGAGATCCTTAAAAGTTATTAAAACGTGTAAATAAAAAAAAGGTATAAATCACACGAGTAATTCACGAATGGAGTGATATTTTGAATCATTAATAATATAAGTCTAAATCAAACGAGCAAACAAAAGTTATTGATAGACTAAATAATAAAAGAGTAAGTCATTTTGAAAGGAAGGGAATATATAAATTTTAGTTCTTAATAAAAGAGTAAATCATTTCTTAATTCTAACATTTTTTGTCTAGAGAAATGTTAGGATATTAATTCAATATTTCAAAGGCGTGTGAGAGGGAAGATTCTAGAGAATTCTAGAAGTTGCTGTAGATCTGTAGAATTCTCTAAAATGTTGTGAAATTTCCTAGAGAAGTGTACAAGTATATAGAAATGTGTAGAATAGTGTAAAAGTTTCTAGAATATTCTATAGATTTATAGAGAAGTGTGGAAGTCTTTAGAAGTGTGTTGAAGAATGTAGAATCCTTTAGAATATTCTATAACTATGTGGGGTTCTCTAGATTCTTCTAGAAACTTATGGGAGCTTGTGAAATCTTTTTAAAAGATTCTAGATACGTAGATATGTGTAGAGTATTCTAGAGAAGCCAAGCCTTGGTGATGACTATAAATAGAGGTTTGGATGCCTCATTTGACATTGAGGAAGAAAAAGAGTCTGAAGAACCAATTAGGCTTCTTGAGTGTGCTTGTGAGTGAACTGTAAAAAAGTGTTCTTATTACAAAGAGTGAAATGTACTACCCGTTTAATTATAATCTCTCTTGTACATTTCTCTATATAATACAAAGTCATTTTCTAAAGTCGTGTCTGTGAGTGTACAAGAGTTTGGTTGTGTGAATCGAGAAAAGAAGACAAGACACACATCAATTCCCCAACAATGGTATCGGAGCCAAGGTTCACAGAGGTATGGATACGGGTGGAGGGTGCTTGAAAGGTCTCGTGTTGAAGTGATGGCAAGGAATGCTGAAGATGTTTGAGATTCCACTCTTTGATGGGAAAACAAACTTTACATTGTGGCAAAGTACGATTCAAGACCTATTAGTGCAGTAAGGTCTTGATCAAGCACTAGAGGAGGAGAAGCCTACCTCATTGAGTGAGCGCAAGTGGAGTAGAATTCAGAGGAGAGATGTTAGTACTATCCGGTTGGCACTTGCTCATGAGATTAAGTTTAGCGTGTTGAAGAAGACCACACCAAAGATTGTGGGATAAGATTGAGAGCATCTATGTGTCAAAGTCGCTGACGAACGAGTTGTGTTTGAAGATGGAGTTATACTCTCTTAAGATGGAAGAAGGAGGTAATCTTCATGACCATATCAACATGTTTAATCAACTAGTATGTCAATTGATGAAAGCTAACGATAAGATCAGAGATGAGAAGCAAGCGTTATTATTGTTAGCGTCATTACCAAAGTCATACACGCCATTGGTGGAGACGTTACTTATAGGAAGAACAACTCTCACGATTGATGAGGTGATTCCTGCTTTACGTGAAAGTGAGAGGATGATGAGGAATGACACTTCCAACACCGGAGGTGATCACATAATAGCTGCAAGAGAGCGTGGGTGAGGGAGGAACTCGCCAAGGAGGCATGTTGATCATCGAGGGAGATCAAAGTAACAAGTGAACCAAGATCTGAGTGACGTGGAATGCTATTTATGTAAAGAGAAAGGTCACATGCAGATAAGATGTCATCCAATGTAGGAGGACTTAAAGAAGTTGAGAGAAACATCACAAAGAAAGGGTGACAGTGACTCCCACACAAATTTGGTCAGTGATGATGATGATGAGAATGTCTACTTGGAAACAGGCGTCGCGCTCATCCCAGCTACCAAGCCTAGTCCGCACAAGAGGGCCTCATATTCTGCTTTATTGTTCAACACCTTGAAGCCAAAAGGGATCGAGTAGTACGCTCTGAACCCTTCGGGAGCAATGACTACAACTCCACCCCCTGAGTTTTATTAGGCGGAGGAGCTATCGATAAAAACTATCCACCAGTCTTTGTCTCTGGGTGCTTCAAGACTTGGCTCATCCCGGGCGGTACACTCCACTACGAAGTTAGCCAGCACTTGCCCTTTAGCCGTTGACCTTGGCTTAAACTCGACTTGGAAGGCTCCAAAGAATACCTCCCACTTAGACATACGCAAGGGTGCATTCATGCTCCTCAATATTACGCGTGTGGGTTGCTGAGATAGTACCTAGATCAGGTGTGCTTGGAAGTAGGGCGTCAACCTCTACACAATGGAAACCACCACCAAGACCATCTTCTCGACTATGGAATATCTAAGCTCAGGCCCCTAAGTGTCTTTGATGTGTAGTACACCGGGTGTTAGACTCCACCCCTCCTCTCGCATGAGGACCGAGCTCAGCGCCATAGGTGAAACACTTAAGTACACGTACAAGGTCTCCCTGGCCTCAGGCTTTGCAAGTACCAGAGTAGAAAGGAGGTAGGACTTGAGGGATTCAAAGGACTTCTGGCACTCCTCCGTCTATACAAACCCTTGAACCTTCTTCACTACTTGAAAAAATAGGGCAGCTCGGTCTGCTACCTTGGAGAGGAAACAGTTGAGCGCAGCCAACTTCTTGGTTAAGCGTTTCACCTCCTTGACATTCTGTGGGGCTTCTTTGTCAAAGATGGTGCGCACCTTCTCGGGGTTGGGCTCGATGTCGCATCGACTCACCATGTGCCTCAAGCACTTGCACCCTGAACCCCGAAAGTGCACTTCTTCGGATTCAGCTGTAGGTTGTACTTCTTCATGATCTTAAAAACTCCTAAATGCTGTAGCTATAGGTCGCCTTCTTCCTCTTGACGATCATGTCATCAACGTAGGCCTCAATGCTCTTCCCGAGGACGGGGGCAAAGAGCTTTTTCACCATCCTGGCATAGGTCACCCCTGACATTCTAGAGACTAAAGGGCATCACCTTGTAATAGTATACTCCACCGGGGGTGGTGAAAGACGTCTTCTCTTCATCTTCAAGATGCATCCAAATCTGATGGTATCCGCTACACGCATCCATGAAACTCATGAGCTCGCGCCCCGCAATCTCGTCCATGAGTTGGTCGATGTTTGGGAGCGGGAACAGATCCATGGGACATGCCTTGTTTAGGTCGGTGTAATCCACATACATCCTCCAGGTGGTCCCCTTGGGTGCTAACACTACGTTGGCCATCCATTCCGGATACTTGACATCCCTTATGTGTTCGATACTCTAGAGGGTGGCTACCTCATTGGCGACAAACTCTCTCCGCTCGGGCGAGAGGAACTGCTTCTTTTGCGTGACCGGCTTGGACTCGAGATTAACTGGCATCTGGTGGCATAGGATTTTGGGTTCATCCCCCGGCATATCCCCGGCCCCCATGCACAGATAGTGTTAAAGGTGGTGAGCACGGCCATAAGGCGCTTCCGTACGTTACCTGCGAGACTAACAGACTTACTCTGATCTTCACCATTCGCTCGGGCATTCGGGGGTCGAGTGGCACCTCCTCGAATTCTTCAGCGGGTTCGGCTATCGGTCGTGCTTCTTGCTTCTTGATTTCCTCCTAGGCATGCATGACCAGCGTCTCGTCCCTTGGTAGCGTCTTAGTGATACGACATAGCAAGAGCGGGCCAGCTTTTGGTTTCCCATCGCCACCCCAATCCCCGAAAGGGTGGGAAACTTCATGCATAAGTAGTATGGGAAGACGACACGCTCCAAATCCTCAAGGCCGGGCCATCCCAAGATCATGTTGTGTGCATTGTTAATGCTCACAACCATGAACTCTGTTATATATTTTAGTGTAATTGGAAAAACTACGACCAATGATATCCTAATAATCATCAAAGAAGTTTGGTGGTGCGGAGTGCACGCTTTGTTAAGTTTGTTAGGATAAAAATCCCGTTATATCAGGGGTTCCAAGGGGGCAGCGCTCCCTGGGCGGGGGTTCGGAGGCAGCGCCCCCGAGCAGGGTTCAAGGGGCGGCAACCCCTGCGGGGTCCAAGGGGAAGAGCCCTTGGGCAAGGCGCTATGTTAAAAAATTCAATTGGAATTTTATGTTTGGAATTTTCTTTAAAAAGAAAATTCATAAGGATATCGTTGTTTTCAAAGGAGGAGTTTTTCGTCGAAGAGTTGCGAGCCTTGGGTAAATGGCCGCGAATGGTGTCTTCTCCTTATCACCCCAAGTCTATAAATTCCCGCGAGGCATGGTCGAATTTTGTTCGGATTTTTCATAGCAATTCTCATATTTTGTTCTTGATCTTTCGAGTTTTATCCGATTAAGTTTTGGAGTGAACAACCAAAATATTCAATCTGAAAGTGTTTACACAACTCTCGATTCATCCAAGTTAACGTTAATTTCCCCAACAAACTTCATTTTAAACTTAGCCTTGTACTCACCATCCCCTACTATCACGAGCACCGTGATGACTCATTCAGCCTCGATGGAGTCTCCCGTGAATCCGGGGAGAGGAGTGCGCACCGGATTAAGATCCTTGCGGCTCAGACCAAGGTCCTTGAAGGTTTTTTGTGCGTTATGTTTACCGAGCTCCCCGTATTCACCAGGGTCCGGTGTACTATAGCGCTGTTTATCTAGATCTGGACAACCAAAAAGTCTCGATGGGGGCTCAGTGTGTTAGGGAGGTCCTTCTCTGTGAATTCAATCTGCTCTCTCCTTCTGAGCTTGGACACTGGCTCTTGGTGGACCTTGGCGATGAAAGCCATGTGTTTCCACTTCTTCCTCTGGGCAACAGAGTCTCCTCCCATATTCCAACCGTGGATGAACCCCACCGAGTACCCCTGGACTTCATCATCTTCAAGGTCATCACACTCTTGTCTGATATACCTCTTCTCGGGATTCCTCGCTTGAGTGTCCATGGCGGACGGCTCGGTCGGCTTCCTCCAGGTCCTTCCCTTTTGTGCCCCCACAATGGGGTTGTACCGTCTTCCCGGGGGTGGGCCCTCGGGCGATCACTCACTACATATCCTTCTCAAGTGTAAACCATTCCTTGGTGTTGTTGTGGTGATACTCACAATATTTGCATCCACCGGACAGCGCGTTGGTATCCATGTGGGGAAGCGGGGAAAGACCCAGCTCTCGATGCGTCCCCACAGGCGCCCTTACGGAGTAGACTCTACCCGAAGGTATTCTGGGGCAAGACGACCAACGGTGTAATCCTTCTTCCTCTTCCTCGCGATTTCTCTCGAGTCGACGGGAGCTTGATTGGCTAGCGCGACCTCGGAAGTGGAGCGTCATCAAACTCCTCTGAGGCCAAGATCTAAGCGTGTGCCAAAGTTCCCTGGTACATGGAGGGAGGATTCGTGCGGAGCTCCTTCCTCACCTCTCCTCGGTGTAGGGTTGCTTGGAACATCGCGACTTAGGCATGATCATCTGCCTCGTGCACATCTCGGGCTTCCTTCTCCCACCGGACTATGAAATCTTGAACCTTCTGTCCTTGGCAAATGCAGATGTTGAGGAGGTGGGAGTAGAGTAACATTTGCTTGCGGTTGGTCAGGAAATGGGTTGGGAACATTCCTGCCAATGCATCCCAATCGTCCATGATCCCCTTCAGGAGTCGGTTAAACTAGTTGTACGCTAAGCTCTCCAGCGTCGCGAGAAAGCATCGGTATTTGACCTCATCCAGCGTTGTTGTTGCCTCCATGAAGGCATAGAACTTCAAAAGGTTGTCCTGAGGGTCTATCTTTCCACTGTGGGCCTTAATCTGCCACGGTCGGAAATTCATTGACAGCGGAATCGACATAACCCTCGGCATGAAAGGGGTCACCTTCCTTAAGACCGGTTGGCTGTAGGGCGCTCCAGTCTCTACACGGTGCTTTAGCTCGGCAACTTCACGCACGATGCGAGAGATGCCGTGATCCGAGCGCTTTGTCTTCTCGATCCTCGTGGGGCTCTGGCAATGCTGGGTCCGCTTGTCCCATCGTCTGTTAGTACGCTCAGGCATCCCCGAGCGCGCGTCGGGGGTTTCTGATTCCTCAACGTGCCTTTGCATGCCCTCTGAGATCTGCCGTCGTAGATCACCCTGGCGATCGTCGTGCCCATGGTTGAGCTTGTCGAAGGACACGCGGGTCTCCTCGCCCCCGAGCCACTTGAAGGCGACACTTAGCCATCACTAGAGTCATCATCTCACCCTTACAGGATGTCCTCCACCAGTACTTTCTCAAACACAGGGGCCTTTCTGGGCCTCCTCTGGCTCCTTTGGGTCTTCTTCTCCTTGTGCTGGGAAGTGGCAGCATGCTCGATGTTGGGGTCTCCTAGCAGCCCAGGTGGTTTTAGTTGCCGTGTCCACTCCCGCCCATGGCAGAGAGGGCTGCAACAGCAGCCTGGAGTTGCTCCGCGGTCACCCCCATCCCAAACAGCGCATCAGTGGTCAAGGTAATCCCCCTGGTTTTGTTACTATTGCCCGAGTTGTTCCCCTCGCCAGGGGCGTGGCTGGTGGTGGGGGATGTTGCTCCTTATCTGCACTATTCGCGTTCTAGGGAGTTAACCCGCGAGTATGTTTCTCTTCTCTCGATGAGAGCACCAATTTTATGACAATAAACCACCGAAGAACTCGACCGTGGGGTCTGTAAGTTGCGTAAGCTTGATGTGTTGAGTTTAAAGAGACAGAGTGTGTGCAAAGTAAAAATATTATTAGCTTAGATTCAGGGATCCTTTGCCATGAGAAGGCCTTGGCCCTTTTTTGTCGCTTAGTAGACGTCACCTGATCCTCATAGTCTAGCCTCTTCCATCTAGTCGTTATCATGCAGTTCCTACCATCTGGTCGGTGTCTCCCCATCACTGTCATCTGGTTCGACCCGAAGTGGAGGAGGCCATATTGCCATAAGGCCGAGCCGATGCCAGAGATCGAGCCCGCCCACATATGGGGCCCTTTCTCGTGCTCACCTAGATGTGGGGCCCAGTCTATGATCAGACCCGAGGCTGACGTGCGGTTATCCTTCATCATAGAGAATTCTAAAAGTTTTTGGAGATGTGTTGAATTCTCTAGAATGTTATAAAATTTTCTAGAGAAATGTATCAGTCTCTAGAAATGTGTAGAATAGTGTAAAAGTTTCTAGAATATTCTAGAGCTTTCTAGAGAAATGTAGAAGTCTCTAGAAGTGTGTTGAAAAATGTAGAATCTTCTAGAATATTCTATAACCATGTGGGATTCTCTAGATTCTTCTAGAAACTTATGGGAGCTTGTGGACGCTTTCTAAAAGATTTTAGATACGTAGATATGTGTGGAGTATTCTAGAGAAGCCAAGCCTTGGTGATGACTATAAATAGGGGTGTGGATGTCTCATTTGGCAATGAGGAGGAAGAAGAATGTGAAGATCCAATAAGGCTTCTTGAGAGTGCTTGTGAGTGAGTTGTAGAAAAGTGTTCATAATACAAAGAGTGAAGTGTACTACCAGTGTAATTGTAATCTCTCTTGTACATTTCTCCATATAATACAAAGTCGTTTTCCAAAATCGTGTCTTTGTATTATTGAATATGTGTAAGTGTACAAGAGTTTAATTGTGTGAATCGAGGAGAGATTGAGATATTAATTTGGATTTCATGTTAATATATATTCCATGTTATTTTATTTACTCTACTATTTTCATTAGCAAATATGTTTTTATTTAAGGTTGAGACTTGAGACAAACCTGGGCATCGTATGGAATTTGACGTGCTTCCTGCTCCCTCTCTAACATAAAAAAATGTATCCCATATTTGTTTAACCTGTCTCCTAATATATCTCTTCGACTACGGCTCAAAGGATGTTTAAGATCTTCATAGACTACAAGAAAAATGTTGTTTAGTTTAAGTACAAATGGTCACTAAAACGTCTATAATTAATTATAAATAATGACCAAATCCATTAGGTATCCACTATGCTAATTGCTAAGTTAGGGTGCAAACTAACACGTCTCACAAAAAGACCAAAGCTCCGCAGAGATTGTGATTTGATTGGAGAAGCCGCTGGACTGGACTTTGAAGTTTTTCATTTTTGATTATTATACTTCTTTCCGGTAGAAATGATATTCTCATTTTAACCTTTAGAAAATTTAAGGAAGATGAATCTTTGTATTGACTTTCCAAAAATAGTATGACGTGATAGATAAGTTAAGAATTATTAGTAAATTAAGAATTACTAACGACAAAAGTAAGTTTCTAATAGAAATAAAAACAACTTTTTAAGAAAAGTAAAAAAAGGGAAAGAGTTTTTTGAGATGGAAGAGTATTACTTAGTTTTTTAAAGAATAATACTCCATCCGATCCTAAAAATCCTTTATGTTTTGACATCTTTTTGTCAAACCATAACATTCTTTGACCAAAAATTGTGAGAAAAAGTATATTGATTTATAATATAAATTCAATATAGTTTAGTTCATTTTAGAATATAGTTTTAATATATAAAATTTTTATAATATTCATTTATTTAGATTATGATTAATTGAAACTCGAAAGTCAAAGAGTCATTATTTGACTTAAAAAGTCAAAACAGAAAGATTTGAATTGATTGGATTGGCCTTATGGGTCGTCTAGGCCCGATATTGGCATGTTCAGATTTTGTTCAAATGTGTACGTGGAGATTGTGGTTTGATTGGATTGGCCTTATGGGTCGTCTAGGCCCAATACTGAATGTTTTGACATTTGGGGACATTAAGTCAGATAAAATCATAAAAACTAATCTAAATAATATCGAATTTCAGAAAATATCAACATGACACAGTTTATATAGAACAATGAATTAATTAAAAAGAGACGACTTATAGTATAATCTATGTGTCTAAATTTAAATTGGGTTTACTATTTACATGCTCAAATTTTATCTATTTTATTTATTTACTTATTTATTGGTTTTGCAATCCCATTGTTTTTATATATAGAGTATATAATGTTATTTCTTTTTGTACCATAATGACTTGAAAACAACTCAAGACATATTTCAAATCGTGATGTGCAAGGACTTTAAGTCATACGGAGTATAACGAAAACAACTTAAGTCTTGTCCCTCATGACTCTGATATTGTTACATAAATGTCCCTTTGAACAAAAATATCCTTCAAATAGTAGGTGAATAACTCCGCTATCCTTGTAGTTTTGGAAATGGGCACCAACACCCCTATTTTTTTGTTTTTCTTGTTTCTTTTCATAAACAGAAGAAATATGTTTGTGAGTGAAATAACAAAAATTTATTTTTCAAACCTAAATTTTTAAAAAATTAAAAATAAAAAATTTTCATGTTTGAAATAGAAAATGAAATAAAAAGTTTAACATATACTTCATTTGTCAAATTAAATATTTTTATTTTTTGTCTAAATTTTTTTTACCTTTTTGAATATTTTGGGAAACAAAAAATATTGAGTAACATCTTTTTAATTAATATATACTGGTAGTAAATTACTCCGTATATATTAATAACATTTTTTGGATACGCAAAAGACCTTCAATGCTTAATTTTCTCTATTCTATAAAAGTATTTCATATACTTTTCTTTTCTTTATTTTCTTTTCTATTCTTTTTTCTTTAATTCTAATTTAATTAAAATAAAAGAAACAGTATAAAATTAATGAACAAAAAATGAGAAATGAGCTTTATTAAAAAAATTGAAAATACTTCATTGATTTTCGTATCATGAAAATGTACTGATAAAGACATTTTTTAGATGTAAAATGAAAGTGATTAATTTGAGACAAATAAGGAGTACGTTAACTCTTGTTATTTAATTGATTTTTATTGCCAACATAAAAAAATTTGATTATTAAATCAGAAAAATAATTTAAAAAAGAAAATAAAAAATATTTATTAAAAATGTAGAAAAAACAATAAGATGCTTGTGCCAATTTCCAAAACCATAAGGGTTATTAGAGTTATTAATGTAATATTTGAAAGATATTTTAGTCTAGATGAATGTTGCCGTAGTAATATCAGAACTAGGAGGGACAATGGTGTCAATTTTGAAACATAGGGGTAATAGTACACATTTATAAAACCACAGGGGTTTATGGTGCAATAAACTCCATATTCGAGTACATAATTTTGAATTTTTTTACCATAATAAGACGTTGAGGTTGGCTTTGAGTTTGACACATTTCAACGAGTCATTTTAAGTTCGACTAAAAGTCTATTGTTCAAATCCTAGTACTTGTGAGTCGAGTCTTGAGTAAAAATAAATCAAATCAACTTTTGAAATCTTAACAAGTATTCCTTCTATTCTAAAACTTTCTTTTCAGTTCGGATTACGAAGTTTTAAAATCATTTTAAATTTAATTTATTTTATTATATGAGTAAAATTAAAAAATAAAAATAATTAAGTATATATTTAAAAGCAACATAAAAAATTTAACAAAGCGCATTACTACGATAACATAAAAAAAGAGGGGTTATGGTTGTTACTTACCGAGAAAGACAGCACAAAACGGGCCTCCTCCGGAACCCCGTCCACCTGAATCCCGGGGAAAGGCCGAGGGGGCGTCTGAGCCGGCTTGACGTTTAGGGGACGGCATGCTACCACAATATCTTTCCAGCTTCTAATAGCTTGTGGAGATGGAGAAGACGACGATGCCTGATTATTTCAAAAACAAATAAAATACGTCGTGGATTAATTTGAATCTTTTTAAAGTAAAACATTGATATTAAGATTAAAACTTATTATTACCTGTCCGTGAACCTCAACTGATTCAGTGTTTTTGTGTCCTGAACATTCAAAAAAATCTTCAAGTATGCCTGGTCCAACCCGCAAGATTGAAAAGAGAGTAAGGAAACACTTCAACACAAATAAAAAGAGATCAGAAACATATATATATATATATATATATATATATATATATATATATATATATATATATATATATATATATATATATATATATATATATATATATATATATATATCTCACACACACACATATTTCTGATTGATGCAACATGGAGATATGTATGCATGCAAGGAATGCCATTGTAGACTGATGCCAAAAACATTTTTAGATGGAGACAAGAAGTATGTGTGTTGTAAGTTCTGGTGTTTTTCACCCATTTTTACCGGAGAGACTTTCAGTTTTGATGAGATCCCTGATTTGTAACAAGCCATTAGATAAGCTCCGGCTACCCAAGGTTCTTCCTTCCTGCAACAGTTATAGGCCTTTATATATTATTGATCATATTCCGGAGAATTTTATAAGCACGATTTAAAACAACCTCATTCTCTTGGGTAAGAGAGAAGCCAGGCAAATCCAGTGAATCTGAAGGATTACTGGCAACTTGATGAAATAGCTGCATGATCCAACTGGTGCAGAACAGAAGGCAGTCAAATGGCTCTTCAATAAAGACTTTGCCATTCTCAATTATAATACAATTGATAATCTCAAGCAGCTCCGCATCCTAAAAATTCATCACTTCATTATGAGTGAATGTGAAATGAAAATTTCAAAGACAAATAGCTTTAGATTTTACGAAAGATGCATAAAAGTAGATCATTATTAAACTTTTGCTTGATCGTAAAATAAAAAGCAAACCAGATGATGATAATGGGCGACAACCTTAGTGAGAAATCGTTGAAAGTGGGGCAAGATGAAATTCAAAACATGTTCAGCAACCAAGGGATCTATCAACACCAGCTTCAACAATCCATGGTACACAATCTCTCTGACTCTTGCCTGTGGTGAAGTGAGTTACCTCTCTTTCTGATTATAAGTAAAATGAGAGATATTATTTAGCCTGTCATAATACCTGCTGACAAAGACATCTCTGCAGTAAACCACTAAGCTCCTGAAAAAGGCCAGCCCCAGTTATATGATAAACTTCAGTTTTCTGGCAGCTGCAGGCTTCGCTGCTTGATTTTTGAAGAGAGGCTGATCCACTTTTTTCAGACCGCTGTTCTGCTAAAATTAATTCAACAATAGCAGCAGCCGCAGAAACATGAACAGAAGATTCTTGCCTAAAAGTAGCCTTTTGTAAGGCTAGTATGGTATGATCCTGCATCATTAAAGAGAGAAATGAAGGCAAAAAGGAATGAAAAAGATGGGATGCATCTCACAAAAAGAATGCTACAGAAATGTTTTAATCAATTAGACAGCCAAGCTTAGAGTAGGGCACGTATAATTTTTTATATTGTAGAACACCTCAATGTCTTCAAATAACATGGAAAATAAATTTTGACTTCGACATGATCCCACTTTCATTCAGTCCAAAGAACCTTCTTTTGATATTGTTTTGAAGTCCTTGATGTTTGGTCATCTATCATACTTGCAAAGTACAAACTACTGAAACTATAAATATTAATCGGGACCTGAAGATCTCGACTGCATTTAATCAGAGGCCATAAAACATTGATGAGTGAAGAGGATATTTCAGAGTCTGAGAATGTGAAATTTTCCAATAACTTTTTGAGATCTGAAGCACGTTGTAGCAGTGGATGCGGATGACTCTGAACTAGATCTCCAAGCAACCTACACAAGAACATAACGAAAAGCAATAAAACACTATGCTCATCATACTAAACAGGAAAGGTAAGAGCAGATAACGGATGTGAGGGATAATTACTATACCGTATGATTGGCATCACCCCTGGCTTTGGGGAAAGGATCTGTAAAATGCATTGCTGTATTATCTGTTAAGGGACAGTTAGGTGATTAATTTTACAAAATCTTCAACATGAGGAATATCCAGGTAAGGTTCACAAGGAAAGGGATGAACAGCACTTCTAAATTCAGAAACATCCTTACCTCATTTCTCACCCCATCATGATGATCAAACAAACTCTTTAACACTTCAAGACCTAATTCGACTGGACCTGCGATACAATCATACTTGATTTCTTTGCTGCTTTTCTCTTCTACACCCTCAAGCAATCCGAATCCCAATTTTACGATACTTGACACAACATGCTCTCTCCCAAAGCTGCTTTCCTTGACCTGAAAGAGTATATACACAAAACTTTATGGATACTAACCAAAGAACATACCATATGTGAGTATAAAGAACACAAAGCTGTGAGGAGGTAATTGTTGGTTGATGCTTGACCGAATGTGGGTCTAGGAAAACAATACCACTAGCAATCATAGTATATCATCAATTTATGCGGAGACCTATTCCATGTTGTTTTAAAGACGCTTGGTTTTTTGTTTTCTACAAAGGCAAATTTAACATGATTTCTTAGACTCTTTACAATTATCAAGCATTTGATGACATTTTAAAAAAAAATAAAGTGCTCATGAGATCATTAATGTATTTCTCAATTCAACACATGAAAATATAAATGGAGCAAGCATAAAAGCCATTCATGAGATCATTATGAGAAAATTTTACAGCTCTCAGTACAGCCTTCTCTAAGGCTCTGGCATGTAGAAAATAATCTTCCTTCAGGTGATCTGCTAGCCATTTGCACAATCTGTGTTTAAGCAAAAATAAACAGTGTGATCTTAGAGAATGTCCAAGCCAGAAACTGCTAAAGAATTGAAAAAAAACTTTGTCAAGCCAACCATCATATAACATTGATAAAGAATTGATACTTAACTTGATCATCTGATTATGAGAGGAATAAATTTTCATGTACAGCAGAAAAGAATATAGTGAGTATGGCAGTTACTCTAGTGGATTCATTTATGCTCGACCTGTGAAACTGTGCAACTCACCTAGAACTATCAATGAAATTGTTTTGTTCAATGAGAACAGAACTATCGATTGGATCAAACTAACAGCCACCATTGGGGAGTTTAGCTCAAACTCAAGGAGTTAAGAGAAAAAACGGATGTATGGATGGCAGGCTAAAAGTGAATCACGCCGTATTCCACTAATCGCTGATCAGAGACTCGGCACAATGGCAAGATAACAACATTTCATGTTGGTATGCCATTATGTCGAGGGTATGTAGGGCAACATTTTGGGATAGGGGAATGGACGGATGAAAGGAATCACACACTAACTACTCAGGCGTTCTAAAGTGTCCAAATAAGCCTAAAGTGCTGGATTGTCAGCTGTGTTCTACGATTACTTACTGACATGTCACACTTACTTTGCAAACTTATACCCTTTGTAAACATCAAAGAGAGTTGATTTCAGAATCCATATTGCACTCGCATTAAGCCATTCAATTCTAGAAATCGAGAACAAAACCCCGATAGTAAAATGATTGAAAGCCCTAGAATAGCCACACATAACCAGCCTTAAAACCTCCCTCGCTAGCCCAGGATCCTTCTCGACCACAGAATTTATATGGAGCAAAACAGTTCCTTCAACTTGTCTCATTATCAGCCCACCTTTCGCATCCATTTCCTCACCTCCAAAAAACATCAATATCCCTTTTATCAAAACCTTTTGAAGCCAAGACCAACAACCGAATAACCAACCACGGTATGTCCTGCACATCAACATCCTTCAAACCAGCAAACACCTTACCAAGAAACTTACTCCTCCTCCTTTTATCTAAATATTCAAAACCATGGATTATTTCCACCATTTTCACATAGAAACCCTTACACCAGTCATACTTAAGCATTTTATCAAGCAGAGAGTTGGTGTATTCATCCCGATTATGCATTCTCTCAAATGAATCGATTAGGTTTAAGCATTTAGGTAGCAGAATTAGGATTTGAGCGTCTTCACTCTCAGATATGTGAGGCAGGTATGAGATGATGGAAACCAATACTGGAACAAGATCCGGTGCAGGCATGGAGTCGAGATGAGTGGAGAAGCGCCGGAGGGAGGAGCTTGAGTGCGAATCGTGCGGGATTTGGCGGGAAGTGAAGAGTGAGGTGTACGATTGGAGGAGGTGTGGGAGGAGAGGAGTGAGAGAATCTTCGATCTTAGAGAGGGTGAGGAGGGAGTCAACATACGCCGAGACGGCGGTGGAACGATTCTGATGAAAGGAGGCGCGGCGGTTGAGATAGGAGAGGAGAATGGGGTGATATGACGGATCCAGGAGGAAAGGCGGGAGAGTCGGT